ATGAGAAAAAATCTTTTACTACCTTGAAAACCAGAACTTAAAAATCAAATTTTATTAATGTCAGTAGAATATACGGAAATTAAACAAATTATTTCAGAGAAAGATATATTATATACCATTAAAAGTTGTTTCATCGGAGATCCATCAACAATTGAAGATAGAAAAGTATTGATGTGGAATTGTTTTGTTTGATTTTTACGAATTAACGAAAAGTATAAAAAATAATTTACCATTATAGAATAACAAACAACAAAAAGTACCAGAAGACTTATCACAAAGTGTTTGTTTTATTTATCTTTTTAAGTAGATAAAAGAATAAAAATATTAAGTGTTAAGTTAGCTGTAGTACTAAACATTAAAGGAAAGATTGGAAGAGTTACTCTTGAAAATTATAATAATTTTGTTAATAGAAATAGTAGCTATTTTCCGTTTAAAAATGTTACTATTGCTGTTGTAGTATTTAATTCTCAAGATAATTCGTATAAGAATATAAAAAATTGGCACGGAGAAGTATCGAGATATTGTGGGTCTCATGGTATTCTTCAAACAATCATTGTTGGAATGTTTCCTGATGAAACATATCATCAAAATTTACCAGAAAATATTCAAGTTTTGTTTTCGTTTGTAAGAATAAAAGAAAAGAAATGATTAATTATGTAGATGGTGATATCAAGTATTCCGAATTCAAAATTTTTTTATTATTACCCAAGTGGTACTAATGAATTTAGGAAAGTATTTTTCAGTACTGTTGTCAAAATAAGAGAATTATTGTTTTCAGATGAAAAGTTAGATGAGATTCAAAATTTGAAACAAAGACGAACAGTAACTCAAAAAAAAATAATAGTACCTCAAGTGACATCAAATATTTCTTCTTCATTGAATAGAAAATTAAAATTGGCTTCGAGAAGTGAAGATGAATTAATCATTTTATTAAAGGCAATTGTTTTAGGAGATGAGAGTGTATCAAATTCATGTCATCGTATTACTCAACATATTCTTGGATTACCAGAAGTTATTGGAGATGATATTTATGAATATGTTTGGATAATTCTTTTTATTTGAAAAATGAAGAAAAAGAAAAGAAATAACAAAGTAGCCACAACATTTAATTCAAAAAGAAAATATGACTATTAGACTTAGAATGGATGTTTATAATCATAATATTCCTTCTGGAAAATCATATACTCCATACTTTAATACATTAATATCAATTATTGTATTTAGATATGATGATAAAGAATCATTTAAAAATGTAGTGAATTGGTATCAAGAAACACAAAGATATTCTAATTTACAATCAAACCATTATTTTATTGTAGATGCCATATAATGATACTGAAAAATTATAAAAG